ACTGTCGTTTAGTGAAGAGAATTTGGTAGTTATTTTGTTTCTTCCCATTAACGGATATATTTGGACTTATACAGTTTTGGGTTTCTATCTCTATTCTTATGTAAAAAGAAACGAGTCGCTTTTACCACGGTTATTTATAAATATCTGTATGAGATTATTTCAATACAAGTAATCTGACCACTCAACTAATTCCAAACCAAGGCTAACATAAAACGTCTAAGTTTATAATTATAAATGTATTGTGACAATACAACATTTCATGCACGTGACGTTTATTTAGTTTGAGGATCAATGGAAATATCGACAAGCTAATGACGCAAAGAGGTACCATTTATAGTATCGTGTTTTATATTCGTATGACATCCTTGTGTGTGCGTGTCTATATGGGCTCGTAAAAAGGAGGAATTGCTAACAGGTACAGGTTGAATAGTGTAAAATCCTGCAATGGCATAATGGTGGAGAATACCTTATTTTTTGGAAAATGTATCAGGCCAACTTCGACCAAACGTAATATGACAGTATATATATATTATCATAAGAAGGTACAATAAGTACTATAAAACACCCATAGGTCACCCGATCAGTAAGCCTACATTAAATGTTTATGATAGCTTCCTAATAATAAGACTTTGAAAAATCATAACAGACAGTAGTTATTTTTAACGTTTATTTTCTTTGAAGACACTGGCTTTTGAAGTATAAATACTTTTTTCTAGTTAATGTGAAAACTTTTTTTTGAAGCTATGAAGAAGTACAAATGGGTAGACTAAATGTGTTTTATTACTCCAGTCGTTTCATATACTGTGTAATTTTCTTTTCGCTTTATTCTATCTATCTACAGCAAAGCAACATTAATGTCTAAACTGACTATCAAAATAAGCTGAATGATCAGCTATGAAAACAGCTTATCTAAGCATCTGTATGAAAACATAACTAAAAAAAGATTTATGGTGGGAAAATCATCAATAGTGAACAAATTTCGTGGAATTTTTATCTATATATTGGTACAGGTTCATCGATAAACAATGACATAGCTCCCAGTTTAGTAAAATATAAGTAAATTTATTCATACTTAAAAATTAAAACAAGGAAGAAAGATGGATAAAAGTTTTGGGATAAATCTTCTAATATAATAATACCTTTAGGCGAAACTATGTGAATTTTATAATCCTAAAAGAATACAGTAATTTCTTTAAAAATATATCTATCTCATACTGTTGACAAATTGAATGCTAATTTTTAAATGGGAAATTTAAATTTCACAAATATTTTCAATCTATCTAAATTTATTATGCTGAAAGTGAAGGGAAAAATATATATACATGTGTTTACTGCTATAGGAAAAATCTAAGTTATAAAAAAGGCTATATTAGGTGTATCAAATAATTCGTAAATGTTGCAGGGCAAGCAGCAAATACGTAACAGTGCGGATTTATTATGAGTTTTATATAGATTTTGTGTTAAGCTAAGTTATTTTCCAAAATAAAAACGTTGTGAAAATGGTAATTAAAAGCAGATATAAAATATGGGCTAACATGGACAAAGAACATACAAACTACGTGGACCAGCATGGACAAGTATATGAAGTAATGGGATGTTTTATAAGAGAACCACCATCTTTTAGGAAGTTTTCTAAAATCGTAAACACTTACTTTAAAAAACAACGCAATCCCTACAGTGCATTTGTTTAATTATTTATCTTCTTGGCTGAATAGTAAGATGTCAGTGATGAAAAATCAAGATTACTGACCTCGGTGTAACTTGAATTACGAATCCTGTCGTAGGGTCTATAGAGTAGATCAAACGTAAATACTAGCACACTTATAGACTCAGTTTATAAAAAATGGGGAAGGGATTTAATAATTTGTAATGAAAATTAATAAATTTCATAGTACGTTTATCTAAAACATATAAAAGGGAATTACGATGTAGTTTCATATTTACGCTTTACGTCATGATGGTGCGAAAACCAGTATAGGAATAAAAATCAAATTACATACTTTGTATGATCTGCATGTTTCTAGCGAGGTTACGAAACACATGTTTCTACATATTTGGCTCGGTAATATGGATATAGGTAAGACACAAAGAAAAGAACCTTGATAACAATAACATTTTGTTTTACAAAACCTTGAAGACGTTTCTTATCAGAAAGGTTCCAAATAATAAACAGTTTGAAGGATCAGATTTTTTATCCTACGCTTCAAAAGATAGAGAAATGTATTAGAAATGACCGTATTGCAGACACTTCTTTGTCGCAATCTTTTTAATTAATCTATTTTAAAATACTCGTTAAAACAGTACAGACGATTTGTCACATAAGACTGCTTGTTATTTTAGTTTAGGCTTAAATTTGTATGTACAATAAAATAAGAAATTCAGAAAATGAAATTATTTCTTTGCTTTAATAAAATAAGAAAATTTCATTGCTTAAAGTAATTGCTACAATGCATTATTTCGAATGATAATAAAGCGCTTTTATCCACTTAATCCACTGTAATTCATTCTAAACTGATATAAGAAAGTTGATATAATATTCGAAAATATGTTATTTGAATATTAATGCAGAAAATATATATATTTCTTGAATAGTTACAAAATAACACAATGACTGAGGTGACAAACTCAAATCATTTGGAATTTTTATTAAAGACTCGGGCGCAAGGTTGAGAAAAACATTGATAATTTGTGACATAATGGTAAAATCGTGAGTTTTATATGTTATTTTGGTCACTGACGTTACATATGTGCCAGGTGTTGAAGAATAGAGAAAAGACACTGAAAAAGTTCTTGAATAATTTAATCAATCCAGTAGCTTGCCCTTGTGGCTTTGAGTGGTTTGTTTGTTTGCTTTTAAGCACAAAGGTACACAATGAGCCCTCCACGAGAATCGAAGCCGGGTTTTTAGCGGTGTGAGCCTTCAATCTGTTTTTTAGCCACTAAGACTGGGGGGGGGGGGGAGCAGTTTTTAAATAGAAAAATCATTATTGTTTCTTAAGATGAAATAATAACTTCCTGTCAGCTTTAAGTTTAAGTTGTTAATACTTCCCCTTTATCTATATTTCTACTAACTACGAATATATAAGTATTACCAACCGGAGCTGATAAGTAATTTGAACAGATATTCTTTTTAAAATTATTTCGTTGTTCTGTTAACAATGTTAATTTAGAAGATGTCTGCAATAAAGCACAATACTCTCACCAGGTGTACAACAGCAGGACAATACGTACAAGAAGACTGTTGTATTTTGGTTGATTGTTTGGTTGTTGTTAAGCCCAAAACTACACAACTACACAATAGGCTATCTGTGCTATGCCTAACTATGGGTGCCGAAACCAGAGTTTTAGCTTCATTAGCCTACAGACATTCCGCTGAGTCACTGGGGGACTGCTGTATCTATAGTAATAAAATTTCATTTTTTAATTAGACAGTACTACGCTCATTTTCATTGAGTCTTTATGCAGTGACTAAACTTAAATATTTATTAAAATATGATTGTAGCATAAATCTAATTAGTAGTTTTGAATTATTAACTTTAGTTCAGATTTTCGGTTAACAGTACCTATTTAACTTGCTTTGGTAACTGTTGTTCATATTAAAAACACGAATAAAACGACATTACATATTTTACTTTTATTTTGAAATAAACGAAAGTTTACAGCATTATATTTCTTTCGATCATAGCCTCAAACAAACAACTTCATAGCACTGTAAGCTTAATATATATATATATTTATGATGTGATATTAGATATTCAAAACACAGAAAGAAATAAGTATTTACACACCACCAACACAATTATAAGTATACATACTTATAAAGCACATGTAAAGTGTCAAGTGATCAAACAACAGTTTGATATACCATAATACATAATAACCAAAATACATTAATCAGCTTAGAGCCTGTCAGATAACAGGTCGAAAGTATAAATGTAAAAACATATCTACATCTACTCCTATACCAACATTTTTACAAATACATCTCCCTATGTATTCATGACATCATGAAAGAACATCAGATGTTTGTACCTGCACAGCTATGTTACTTTAGAATAAATTGATACTTTTTCATCAGATTATCTTTTACACACAAAATGAATAAATCAATCGAATCAGTCAGTTAGGGCAATGCACAGATATAACCAAGATACCTCTGTTCCTTCTTCAACCAAGCGGACGAATGGAAGTGAAACGGGTATTCGCGAAAAGCTACTCAAGAGCTATCTGCACTAGCCATCCCTAATTATGAACTGATAGACTACAGGGAAAGCTAGTTAACTAGTTAACACCACTCACAACTAATTTTTTAGTATTCTATTCGAATAGTGGGATTTGACTAAAACTCTTACAGCAACCCCAAAATGCAGAGCGTGATTCTGCAGCAAAAAGACGTGAACTGTGGATCTTCGTATTCACATTTCAGCACGCTAACCATTGTGCCACGACCAGTCCAAACGAAAAAGCAGAAGAATATAAAGAATAGAAAATTGTGAATGACAGACACACGTCAACGGCAAAAAAGAAGAAAAAAAGGAAATCAAGGAGAGGAGAAGCACGACATTATATGAACACAGAAAATATATAGCAAAAATGCAAAATAAAATAAAAAATTACAAAATACGAATGCCAATGAAAATTATTTCCTGCTGTAAATACAATATTACATTTTACAGGCTGCTGTTACGATTCCCTGCTTAAAACGCTATGTCTTTATTAACGTCCATTGTTTGCAACACATCCACAATGATTTTTTTATTAGTTTTTACAAAATTAATTTAAGCCTTGTTTTCTCTGTAACAGATCTTGGTAACTTTAGGTATGAACAGTTATATTGTGTTTATATCCAATTTGCCTTTGACGTACTATGTTGCATACAATGTATAGCACAAATATTTATGGAATGACATTAACACAAGTAAAAATCATAAGAACAATCTGTTTAGCTAAAAGTTATATCAAGTTTACAATTAGATCGTATAACGTAACTTTTATCTTACCTCCCTGACCGAACCTGTTATATACTCCTGTGGCCATTTCTACATCCATGCCATAATTGAAAGGTACTATACAAAGTGTGAAGTTATTTCACTCCAAGGAGTAGCGACTGCAGAAGAGTAACAAAGGGCACTTGAATATTTGTTGCAGTCTCGAAAAATATTATTACTAACTGAAAGGAAACAGGTAACTTTGACAGTCAGATACTAGTTAAACCACCAGCAAATACTTTTTCTATTTCATAGTTGTCTTTATTTTAAAGCAAGTACTAAGCCAACCAATACATCCTTACATTCGAGCTATATTTAATATTACATCTCTTTGAAATGTTATAGCGAGAAGGATATTCACCATTCTGTTTGATTTAGTTCTCGGACATTCAACAGAATCGCACGTGTACTTATCACGGTTTAAGTTAACATTTGCGCGCACTACCTTTTCTATTTCAAATAGATCGTACGTGGTTGGCTAAATATAGCTGCCACATCAAGTCAAAGAGGTGACGAAGTTTTACGAGCACGCGCAAAATATACTTATGCTTTCTATGCCGCATGCGCAAGAAAGAAAGAAACAAACATAATTAATATTCACAATAATACATAAGTCAATAAATAAAGAACGTTGCATGATGTCGTATCATAATAATATCACGTTGTATATCACAATATTTAAAGTTCTCAAGTAAGTGCCATTACACTCTGAAAATGCTTGCATTAGCGTTTTCTTAGTTTCTAAAACTACTCCCCAGACTTGGCTTGGATCAATTTGAACTTCTTCACCTTGTGTGTCTACAATTTTCAGTAACATCATCAAGTCATTGAATATAGAACAATATCGAAATACATAAGTTCTATCGAGTAAATTGCTACTGCCATGAAATCAGAGGTTTAATAAATAGTATATACGCGTAAACACAAGGTGTGCCCATAAAAGTTGAATTAAAAAATCGTATTGCAGTTATTTTTTCTAGCTAATAATAATCAAGAAATGTGTCTGTTTTATGGCAGAAATGCTAATCACAGTTTATATAACTTTATTTTATATAATATAAATAACTAGCTTTTTGTAATATTTTCCTTACAATAGACACCATTTTACAGGTTTCATTATCAGAATAAGTACCAGTTATTATTAGTGATATGCTCTCTCAGTTACACGTTTCATTTTCCTTATGTATATTTTATAACTTTTACTTACATCTTTAGTAGTAAGTGTAACGTTACGTAATTGTAATTTAACAATTTAACTTTCAGTAAAATACTATTTGTATCCTTACTTTAATCAAGCCATATATAACTTCTTCTTTCAGAATAAGTTATATTTCTAGTTTTCTTCTAATTATGATAATATTTCACTTCTTTCACTAGTTTTATCTACAAAATTCAACAATTTAGAGCCTTTCTTTGGAGTGTCTGTATACTTTATAACTTGTACTTCAAATTCAAGTTTCACATACAATGTTTATTGGATTTTGTTAAGCGCAAAGTTACACAATGGGCAATCTGTATTCTGCCCGACTAGATATGAAAACCAGATTTTCATATCTAGTGTAAGAAGTACTATTTTAGACTTCAATATCAGTGTTCCAATATAAATATCATTTATAATTTTCATTTTCAACAGAGATATATTTAAGCCTTTCATTTCCAAGGAACTTTCGTACTATAAATGCAAGCTATCTTTTACGTCTCTAAAAATATATTTGTTACAAACATTAGAAACCCTAATAACAGCTTTTTACATGTAACACCCTTTTTCATGTTTAATTCGTAAATCAATATTTCTAAGTAATCTATATATATTAATTTTGAAGTGTATAAATTATTTTCAAATACACTGGTAATAGAACCTAAATAAACATCAACAAAAATATTTATCTTTTGCTAGTGTTCTTAAGTGCACTACTTTCAATACAGATATAACCTTAACTTTTCAGTAAAAAAATAAATGACTTGGAAAAGAAAACATACTTTATTCTCGTTGGTCGTACAGTGTTTGTTGTTCGTTTCACAATCACTCGGTTTGCTATATTAAGGAAGAGCTTTCTCTAAGTGGAAACTGGCTGCTATTTTTACAGTAACTAGTTCGCCAACTTTGCCAGCGGTTAAGCATCACCAAAAACTATTTCTAGCTCTTTTACATCAAGCAAACACGCCATATAGTTGACCATGTAAACGTAATTTTATTGTCAGTACCTTATAAGAACTCATCTTACCAATTGGGGAATGGGGAACACCTAGCAGTGGATGATCACATCCCAATAAATAGAATAAACTTTTTCCAAACTTATGTTATACCTATTCCAAAGTAAATATATTTTCGAATTGTAATATATATATATATATATATATATATACACACACACAAAACAGCCTCAATTACTTTTCTCAGACCAAATCACACTGACTGGATGGAAGTTCTCTAAATTTGTACAAATAATCACGCTTATCTTTTTTACCACAAAAAGTGTACAGTTTTATAATATGATATTTTGCCACAAAATTATCTGTACGAATTGAGATTTCCTAATAGACCAATAAATCATATATTATGGTACAGAAAAAAAACTACAATAAATTTCATAGACGTTATCAGTAATATTATTTATTTATCTTTTAAGCAATGATATGACAGTAAGCCACCACTATTAAACTGATTAGGTTAAAGTTAACGTTTTGAGCAGAATTACATAAATAATCACATCAGTAAATCAAAACAATTAGAAATTGAATCTTTAGTGAAATCACTTTATATTTTCAGCTATGAAAAAATCTATAATAGGAAATCGTAAAAATAAAACCCAGACTCTGATGTTTGGTAGAAGGTTAATATACAAGAAACTCTTAACATGCTTTAAAACGTTAATCTAAACAGTAATAAGACATACTAAAGCATTAATGTTAAATAAATAAATACTTCAAATGCACCTTTTGTAGTGAAATAATCTAATGAGACAGTAAACAAGGTTGAGAACGTTACATTATTTTGAATATACGAATCAGCAAGTCACGTGACAAACATAACCACATATAAAGTCGCGGTGTTTCGTGATACTACCAAAATCTGATCGTTCTTGGGAAGGATATGTAACAGACCTTTCCGTCGCAAAACATTCATACACTCAACCATAAGGATTTGTTGATGTGGAATTTAGAATTACGAAGACGGGAATATCCATTATACTTAATGGCATTGGAAAAGAATAGGAATAGGAATCAATCAGGAGACACGACCATAGATTAAAAGCCCTGTAACAATTCATGCCCAATCGTGGTAATCAAAGTACGACGTTTTGCAACAGGTGAGAATCCACGAACACAAAGGTCAATGGTAAAAGTAATCCTCATGCCCCAGGCAACAGTATGTGACCAGTGCTGGATTAACGCATAGGCCACCTGGGCACGGGCCTATGGTCCCGGCTATATAGGGGCTCTGCCGGCCACCCAAGTAAAAAAAAAAATATGGTTCATAAAATTAGCAAAATAGAAACAAGAATGAGTTATTGTTATTATTACTATTCCCAAATACTACCTGGGCCTAGGGCCCAATCAAACCTTAATCCGGCCCTCTATGCGATATAATCAAGAAAGATCTTGTAACGAATTTGTTATTATATATTTATTTTAATATCAACGTTTGTTTGGAT